TCCCCTCTTCCCAGAGCCTGGGGGCCCAGCCAGGGTCCTGGTCCCACCCTCAGTGGCTGTTCGAGAAGGTTACCTGCTGAAGCGCAAGGAGGAGCCCACCACCCTGGCCACCCGCTTTGCCTTCAAGAAGTGCTACTTCTGGCTCAGTGGGGAGACCCTCACCTACTCCAAGAGTCCTGAGTGTCAGGTGGGGCTCAGCCCACCGAGGGGGGCTCCCAGTGGGGGCCCCCTCGTGGCGCTGTGTCTGTGTATCCGCGGGAGGAACCCAGGCCCAGGACAGGGCAAGGACTTAGCATGTCCAAGCTCTCCAGCCACACTGTGGGCCAGTGTGGGCTCAGAATGGGGCCAGGATGACACCCCCACACTCTGACCATCAGATGTCCTTCAGGACGGGCAAGGAGTCTCCCTCCTTCCCCGTATGAAGATGTGCCCAGGGCATGAGCCATGCCCACTTCCTGGGTGTGTCCTGTGCAGGCAAACAAAACTCAGTTCTGCCCGCAGGCTCATGGCACAGGCCCGCACCACCGGGCATTCATTGGTCACACATTTATAGAGTAGAACACTGGGCCGGGCGCTGCTCACCCGCTCTGGCCAGCCTGCCATCCAAGGTACAAACTGAGGCACTCCTGGGGGGCCTGCCTGCTTCTGGGCGTGCGCCTCCATAAGCAGTAACACCACCAGCTGGCCCTGGAGACGGTGTGTGGACTCATTTTCTGGAGTGCAGCCGCCTGGCCCCGCCGGCAGGAGGACCTCAGGAGAGCGGCTCGTCCTCTGGTGCCTGTTTCCTTATCTGCACACTGGGAGGACTAATAGGCCCGGCCCCAGGAACTTGTCGTGATGTGTAAATAAGTTGAGAAATGGGAAGGACTGGGAGCCACATCCCAAGCGCCAAGGGGTGTGGCTGCCAAGACAGAACCGATGCCAGGGAATCTGCACTCGCTGGGTGACGGGGCGGGACAGCGGAGGGGCCTGCGCACAGAGCATCAGGGTTGAATGGTCCCCACCTCCGCCCTCGCCCCCCAGGCCTCAGCCCCCCCAGGCCACCCTGCAGCTACAGTCCTCTCTCCCAGACGCGCTGCCTCATCCCGGTGGCAAACATCCGCGCCGTGGAGCGCGTGGACGAGGGCGCCTTCCAGCTGCCGCATGTGATGCAGGTGGTGACGCGCGACGGCGCGGGGGTGCAGCACACCACCTACCTCCAGTGCAAGGTGAGGCCGCCAGGATGGGCGGCGGAGGGCGTCCCCTGGCTTCCACCCCACCCTGACCGTCCCCCACGCCCTGCAGAATGTGAACGAGCTCAACCAGTGGCTGTCGGCCCTGCGCAAGGCCAGCGCCCCCAACCCGGACAAACTGGCCGCCTGTCACCCCGGAGCCTTCCGAGGCGCGCGCTGGACCTGCTGCCTCCGGGCGGAGCGCTCAGGTGAGCGGGCAGGGCCGGGTCAGGCTCCGCCCGCCCCACCTGTCCATCAGCGGGTGTCCCAGCCCTGCTGGGGCTGGCTGAGCAACTCCGGCAAGTCAGCCAACCTCTCCGTGCCACTGCCTCGGCCACTGTGCAAGAGGGTGGCTGTGAGGATGAAGGGGGTTGAGCTGCACAGTCTTCAGAGCCCTGCTCACACCCCGTGCTGTTTAGTGTGAGGGATTCTTTTTAAAGCATCTGTGGGTCCACAGCCAGCTAGCAGGCTCGCTCTCACGGGAGACAAATGAATAGCCAGACGATTGTAATACAGAGCTGTGAGTGCCAAGATGAAGCCTTTGAAGCTCCAGAGAATGCTTCTGACTCCATCCTAGGGTAGGAGAGCAAGGAGGGCTCCCTGGAGGAGGTGCTGCTTAAATGTGACCTGAGATAAGTGGGAGTTAAGCTTTATTGAAGCTGGAGACAGGAATGGGGTAAGGAAGGGTTTCAGGCAGAGCAACTGGACTAAGCAGTCGTGGAGGTGAGACGGAGAGGGCTGAGGGTCGGATCTAGGACTGTGGGAGGCGGGGAGAAAGAGGTGGGGCTCCTGCTGGATGGAAGGGAGCGATGAAAGTGTCAGGTGACGGTGGAGGCATGGGGCAGGGCTTGGTGGTTGCAGGGGGCTCTGGAAGGGGAGTGGGGGATCACTGATGAGGCTGTGTCCCCCTCAGCTGCCGGCTGCAGCCGCACACACTCAGCCGTCACGCTGGGGGACTGGAGTGACCCACTGGATCCTGATGCTGAGACCCAGATGGTGTATCGGCAGCTGCTCCTGGGACGCGATCAGATCAGGTGGGTTCCCACCTCCCACCCGCTTCTTCTCCGCTCCTGTGTCCACGTGCATTTTACCCAAGCACATTAGCTGAGCTGCCCAGCCCGGGCCAAGGCGAGGACTGGAACGCTTTCTTGGGTGAGCCCTACTCCAGACCTGGATTTTGGGTTCTTTTAATACCTGGTAACTCTTTTAATACTCCAGAGACACGGGCATAGACCTCGGACATATCCCCCCCCTCCCCTGGCCTTAGGATCACCATCATTCGGTGACAGACTAGTTTCCGTTCTGAAACCGCCTGCCTGGGTTCAAATCCTGGTTTGGCCACTTAGTGGCTGTGTGATCTTGGGCAAGTTGCTTCCCTTCTCTGTACCTCAGTTTTCTTGTCTGGAAAAGGGGGTAACAATGGTAGCTACCTCATGGGCTTGTCCTGAGGATGAAATGAACTAACACAGGTAAAGCACTGCGTAGATGCTTGGCCACATCGTTAGCTTTCCACCGAAGATAATGGTTGCTATTATGCTGTGTGACCTTAGGCAAGTTGCTTTACCTCTCTGTGTCTTGATGATCATCTGTATAATGGAGCTAGTAAGTATCTCCCTCAGATAAGTTGTTGTTTTTTTGTGATGAAAATGCATGTAAGTGGCTTAGAATAGTGCCTTGCACTTAATAAACGTTTGACCATGACAGGAGTGGCTAGCAGGAAACTGCAAGGAGCAAAATCTCTGGGGCAAGGAGCAGGGGCCCCTGATTAGGAATCAGGGGCCGCCTTTGCCTCTTCCCCTCTTAACTTCCAGGATGAAATTCCTAGAGGATTCCAGCCTGGACACTCTGGAGGCAGACCCAGGGCAGGGCAGCAGTGCCGTGGAAGGTAAGGGGTGCAGACGGACCCTCTCTGACACCTCCCCACCACGTGCCAACCCTGCCCCTCTGGCTTCCCACCTCATCTCCAGTCCACCAGCAGGCCAGAGGGTGTGTGTGTCCGGGGGGACCCGGGGTACATTTTAGGGTTCTTAGGGCACAAGGCAGATCTGGAGCCTGGCCTGGCCTTGCTGACCCTGCCACCCTCTTTGTCTCCCTCGCAGGGGTCTGTCCTGAAGTCCTGGCCCGGCAGAGAGAGGCAGCTGCCCGCCTGTTGGAGGTGCTTGAGGACTTGGATAGAGCCCACGAGGAATTCCAGAAGCAGGAGCTGAGGAAGGCAGCCCCAGGCCCCCTCAGGCCCTGAGAACATGCCAGCATCAACCTGGAAGGAGTTAAAAGGCTGTGGGCCTTTTTCAGTGTACCCTGGCCCAGAAGTCTCCTCGTGACTTTCCTGTACCTCATTGATACTATGGCTTGGAGGCGTCTGGAGAAATCCCAGAACTGGGGGCATGGAAACCTTTCCGCAGGAAGCCAGTCTTGCACTGAACAAGCCACGCTATCTAGGCAGAGGCAGACTGGAAAGGATGGGTTAAGGAACCCACCTCATGGAGCTCAGGGTGAGGCCTCTGCCTCACACCTCTACCCACACCAAGGAGCTGGCCAGGCTCTGAGCTGCTGGATACAGCTGTACCTGAATCTCTGATGTCCACGTGTCCTTGTTGCCCATAGGCACTAGACAGTCTCGGCCCTTCCTGTTGTCATGTCTGCCAATCCTGTAACCTCACTGAATCTTCTGAACCCTTTGGCCCAGGGCCCCAGCCACAAGCGCCCAGAATCAGATGCCTTTAGGAAGAATTGAGGCTGGGAGGCCTGTGTGCCCGACTCAGGCCCTTGAAGCCTGGAGACTTTGGGCAAGGCTCCTTCCCTTTCTTTGGATCTCGGTTTCCCCTGTATAAAATGAGGAAGGAGTGCGTCTAGATGGATGTGTGGTTTTCAAGCTGGGTTCCACAGGTCGCTCTGGGAGCCAGGGTGGGGTTTCTTAGACTGTGGTCCAGAGCCCCTGCCCTGGGGTTTCCGCTAGAAGCAAAGATTCCTGGGCCCACCCAGAGCTACTGAATCAGAGTCTGAGGGAATTGGGGGCAGGGGTTAGGGTTTTCAACAAGTTCCTCAGCGGATGTGGAGCAATATGAGGGTCACCAGGCGGGGCGATTTCATGTCAGGGTTTGAGGTGAGATTTTTGAGAATGAATCACAGAGGATACAAAGTTGGGGAACACCCACTGGCAGAACTAGAAGGGCCTCCAAGCACTCATTTCCGGCTTTGTGTGACTAGAGAGGGTGGGAGGGAGGCTGAAGTTGGCCTGGCTGTGGAGAAGGTGGACGGAGGACACGGAGCTACCCCGAGCATGGCCAGCAGGGGTCGCCTGGAGCCGCAGCATCCGCCACATGCCCGCGCATTCTGGGGAGATGCAGAGGGTGATGTAGGGCTTGTGGCGGATCCTGGGACCTGTCTCCAGCTCCATCTCTCCCTAGACAGACCCTGGTCCTCCCCACTGAGGTCAGGCTGGGGCTCCGAAGTTTCCAGAAAGTGGTCACGGTGCCTCCCAGTTCCTCCATATTTTCCTGCAGGCTCAACTCCCAGCCTGAATTCCTCTTTCCTATTCACTGTACCAGGGAGTGGCTATGGGCATTGCCCTGTGGCCATGCTGGAAAGGTCCTACCTCTTCCCTCTTGGGGACCAGGATGGGTCTGTCTTGGGATAAGAGAATGATGAGGACCCTCCTCGTATAGCGGTCCAAGGCTGAGGGGTGCAGGGGTCCCGAGGTGTCATTTTGTTGCAAAATGTCCATTCATTCCAGGCAAAATGAAGGCTCCCCTCCCAGCACTGAGCCACCAGCAGCCCCCGCCCCCCACCGGCAGGAAAAACCGAGTGAGGAGGAGAAAGACCGTTTATTTCTCCACCCACAGTGGGACTGGTAGGTTTTCAAAAAGAGCAATCGCTGGCATCCCTTTAAATCTTGGCTGACTTCTACCACTGCAGCCAATCAACAGAGGCGGAGCTGGTGAGTTGCCTGGGCAACAGGCCCCTGGTTGGCCAAGCTCGCAGCCACCCCACTGCCCCCTGCAAGGAGAGGGAAGTGGACTCTTTGCTGTCCAGTCTGCTTTTTACACCTGCTGGCCGGAGCTAGGCCTCCTCCGTGGCCCCGGAGCCAGGAGCTCATCTCCGGACCTGGACACAGAGCAGTTCGGTAGAGAGGATGGAGTGGGCAGAAAGGAGAACAGTGCCTTTAGCTGGGGCAGACTTAAGGCTGGGGATGGGAGGGGGAAGAAGGAGGTCAGGGTCCCAGAAAGATGAAGATACAAGCACAAAATAAGATAGACATGAGGGGGACCTCCTCTTTCTGGCCCACCCCTTTGCAAAACTGCCAAATGAATAATCCACCCCACAGCGACCCAGCAGTGGGTGCAGAGAAGGGTGGCAGAGATGGGAGCAGACTGAGCTTCCCAAGTGCCCCCTTCACCCCCGCAGCCCCGGCAGGCTCCTAAGTGCTTGACCCGAATCCTCCTGCTGCAGACAAGCCTGTGCAGAGGGGAGAGAGACACAGATGGGGATCCACACAGAGCTCGCAGGGTCCTTCTGTCTCTTCCCCCCAGTTGGGGGTAAGTAGAGGCACGTGGGTGTGCGTGCATGTGTTCAACAGGACACGTGTGTTTGTGTGAGGGGTGGGGCTCTGTCTTTTGTAGGGAGGTTGCTGTGGTTTCCGGTGCCCTCTGCGGCCCTGTCAGGGAGCGATGGTCGGAGCCGGCCGTGCTGCTCTCCTGCTGTCCCGCCGCCGCCCAGCTGCCACCAGCCGAATCCCGGATTGCTTCTGGCTCTTTCTGCAGGATCCTCCTCAGGCCTGAACCTGGGCCACCAGGGCACGCCTGGCAGAGGGACGCGTGTGCCGGACCAGGGGCAAAGCAGGAGGGAAGGCGGGCGGCCTGGGGCCTCTCAGGCCTTGGCGGAGGCCTCGGACACGCCCTGGGCTGTGAGCTCCGCCAGCACGTTGTCCAGGTAGCTAGCGTCCGGGTAGCCGTGGCCCGTGAGGTTGGAGCCAAACTCGGTCTTGTGGTGGATCTCGTTCCACACCACGGTGTCCGACTCGCCCGTGGTGTTGGACGTGCCTATGGTGAAGATGAGTCTCCGCTCCCAGGCCGTGATGAGCAGCCTCAGCACCTGTGGGGGGGCGGGGTCACTGGCAGCCCCGCCCACACCTGAGCCCTCCGCCCCGCCCACACCTGAACCCTCCACTCACTTCCGGCCAAGTGGGTCTGAGGTACCTGCTAAGTGGGGCAGGCTTTCCTGAGGCTCTGTCATTTTCTTCCCTATACTGACGCCCTGGGGGTTCCCCCAGACCTTTCCAAGTTAGCTGCCTGTTTCTTTTGGGGTGTAAAAAGGGTTCTCAAACTCGTGGCCCTGGATAGTGTTGCCTTTGGAAGGCAACCCGCTCTGAATGGCCACTTTGCAACTTCCTTGGCAATATTCAAAAATTTGAAATTTCACATGAGAATCTGGATGTCTGACTTTTCTTGAAAAAACAAAAAGCCAAACAAAATCCAGCGTGGTGGTGAGCGGCCGGGCTGCTTGGATTCAGTCCATGCCCCACACACTCGTGTGTGACCCGGCACAAGTTACCTGCCCTCTCTGAGGCTTTGCTTCTTTATACAATGGGATCAAGATCTTGACCTCAGCCCCGCGGGCAGGGTTAGGGGGTTATAGTCCATGCGGGTGTTGGGAGGGAGGGGAGAGCGGGGATTGGGGGCCCGGGGGACCACAAGGCTAGGCTACAGTGGCTGGGGCTCCCGCACCCCAAGTGCCCACAGGGTCGGGCACCCACCTTCCGGCCCTTCTCGTTGTTGGGTAGATAGCAGTGGCGTGGGAAGCCTCTTGCGGTGAACTTCTTGCCTGGATTGGGGTGCTCTGGGCCCTAGGAGGAGGGGCAGCAGGAGCGTGAGTCACAAACGGGTGGGGGGAGGCTCTGGAGGTTTCAGAGGCGTTCTGGGGTCGGAGGCCCACCTGGATGCCTGTGGGGATGTCGTAGACGATGCGGATGGTCTGGGTGTCGGCGAAGCCGGGCAGCGAGTGGGGGATGAGGTGGAACTCCATCTTCCCGGGGGGCTGAGTGCCCGTCTTCTCCCCGTAGATGGCCTTGCACGTGGGGCATTGCAGGCTGCCGTCCTGGGGCAGGGGTGGCCCACAGTGAGGTCCCCAGGGGTCCCCGCCCTGCCCAGTGCCCCTGCCTGCTCCCCCCCACCTGACCCACCTTGTTGCCATTGGAGTACATGGCCACGAGGCACAGCAGGTGGTACATGTGGCCGCAGCGGCCCAGGCGCCCCACGAGCTCAGGCCGCACGCCCTTGTGCCGAAGCACACCCTCGTAGCCCGAGGCGGTGACCAGCCGCTCCATGCAGATGGTGCAGTCCTGGGGGCACACAGGGGAGACTGAGGGCCTGGGACGAGGGGTCGCCAGGCCCCCTAGGGGAGCAGACCACCCCATATTCGGAATCCAGGTGCAAGGCAGGGAAGAGCTGCTCCCTCACACCCGCTCCAGAGGGATTAAAGGCTTCACCATCAAAAGCCAAACTTAAACCCAGCGGGTGCAAAGCATGGGTGAAATAAGGTCCAAACGCCGCCCATCATCAAAAGATGGATGCGCCCGGCTCCACTCAAGGCAGCCTTTCTGAGCATCAAAAAGGACGCGGAAAGGCCAAGTCACAAAGGGGAGAAGAGCCGGAGCAGGCTGGGAGGGGCGCGGGCGCGGAGGGGCCGTCTGCACCCGCCCTCCCGCTCACCTCATCCGGGGGGTTCTTCACCTTCTGCATGTACCTTCGAACCACATCCTCGGGGTTCTTACCTGCAAGGACAACGCGGGGCGGGCTTGAGGGCACTCAGAGGATACCCCTGGGGATGCGATGTAGGAGGGGGTCAGGGGTCAGAGGGTTGGGGGCCGTGGGGTCAAGGGTGCTGGGGAGCTGAGAGCAGGAGAAGGTGGGGTCCTAAGTCCTAAAGAAGAAATGAGCTGAGGGGTCTGAGGCGCTGGGGTCAGAGGTCAGGGGGTTAGGGGCGGGGCGGGGTGCTGAGGGCCTACTCTTCTTGAGGTGCTTCTTCTTGGTCTTGCGGCACACCCCAGGCACGCCTGGCACGGGTTTGACGTCACTCTTGCTGACGGGCGGCGGGTGCAGGATGGGCTTGGGGGCCCGCGTGAGGCACACGGGTAGACCCGCCGCGCACAGCAGGATCCCGGTCATCCCTGTGGGCGAGGCGGCAGTCAGGGGTCGGGGTGCCCACCTGGCACCTGGAGCCTGGAATCCAGGGACCCTCAGGTGCTCCTGGTCCTCCCACTCAGCCCCACCGCGGCTGAAGCCCAGTAGCCGGCCTGCGGCAGCCGCCCTTCTCCCTGTCCCGAACTGGACCTCACCTGCCAGGGCGGGATGCACCGGCCCCGTCCCACTCAAGTTCTTCACCGGAAGTGCGGGGACCCTGAGGGGAGAAGAGAAGAGGCTGCAGCTGGACGCCAGCCCCCCAACCAGAAGATTGGGGGACGCTGGTTGGCCTTCTGGCTCTGGTTCCTGGGCATACTCGGACCTTGTGTCCATCTCTGTCATCTAGAATGACCCCTCGTCTCCGTCATCACAGGGAGCTGTCCTCCTGTGACATCCTTCGATTGAGGGGTATGACCGGACCCCATCCTGGTTAAGACGAATGGACCCCTAGACTGAGTCGTGACCCTCCCCACCCCCTAGTGAGCACACCCACCCAGCTGCTCCCTTTCAGGGGCCACTGTGCCTGAACCCAAACCTTAGCCGCTCAGCCATTCTCAGAGTTTACGCCCTGCACCCGGGTGAAGAGGACGCACCCCCAGAAGGGACCCCGGGGAAGAAGCAGCCAGGAATCAAATGTTATAAACACTCCCGCTTGGAAGTTCAGGACATAAACCAGCACGTACAGCCTCTGACCAGCTCGGCAGGAGGAATCGGGCTCGTGGTGTTACATCCCGGCTTTCCAAAGCCAGAGACCCAGGAAAATCTGCCCTGGTTTCCCTTCCCCCGCTTCAGCCCCCAAAGAGCTCTGGCCTTTGGGCTCAGTGGAGCTGCTTTCTCATCCCAGCTCAAGCATCAGCAGTGGGCTCATCATCACAGCCTGCTCCCCATCTGTAAAATGGGGGTCACGCGGCACCTCCCTTGTGTGCTGTGAGGAGTCAGTGAGCTTCTGCACGTCCAGGGGGCAGTGCAGGTCCTGGTACTCAGTAAAGACCCTATCCACTGTCAGCACTATCCATCGTCCTGGCTGAGTATTCTCCCCCCCAGCTCATGGGGTCGGGGTGGACGTCTCTCCCTCGTGGAGAGGGAACCAGGTAACTGCTGCATGCGAAGCTCCGGTGAGCCTGCCAGCCTGTCCCCATCCGTTCCTCGTCTGCAAAACGGGGATGGCGCCCCTCGCCCGGGGCTGGTGGGAGCGCTGGAGAGGCTGTGGTCTGTCTGGCTCCCTGCAACCCCCCCTACCCCGCCCGAGCTTGTGTGACTTCAGGGCGTGCTTATGCTGGTGCCTGGGGAAACTGAGGCACCTGGGGCGTACCAGGAGGGGGTGCAGGAAGGGCTGGGACAATGACCGCAGGAGAGGAGCTGCAACAGCCTCCGTGCTGGCTGCTAAGTTCGGAGATGGGCCAGGGCAGCTGGTCACCTGATCTGGCGGTCACACCTGGCCCAGGGAGCTGGCTGAGAGGTGCCGTCAAGCAAATGGTACACTTGACAGGCTTGGGTGCTGCTGCTCTGGGTGCAGAACTACCCCACTCCCAGAATATGTGCCGTGTGGATATGCACACACACAAGTACACAGATACACACGAACAGGCACGGAGAGCATGCACGAGTAGGCACACCCCTCCCCCAACACACTCACTGCACAGACACACAGACACCCTCGCCTGGGAACATGCAGCAGCACATGTACCCACAATACCACCAGGAAGTCCTTACACTGATACAGGTGGAGACACATGACGCTCGGGGAGCATGCTGCGTTTGTGCAAAACACAAACGTGCACACACTCCAGGGAACACACACACATGCACGCACACGCTGTGTAAGGACACTCATGTGGTCAAGAGGCACCAGTTCATGCAGAGTGATGGCCTGGCCACAGCTGCCCCTCCCAGACATAGTGCCGTGGCGGGGCAGCATGCAAACTCGGAAATGCACCCCGGCCCTCACAGGCACCCAGCCACCCTCAGGCAGGGACACAGGCAGACATGCTGACTCACACCAGGCCACCCAGGACACCGCCCCAAACCACTTTGAGGCCCTGGGGACAAGGTGTCTGGAGCAGATACTGGGGTTCCTTAAACTCTTGGTGACTTGGAGTCACTGAACACTGCTCCTAGGGAAATGCCACAAGAGGGAGGTACCATGGGGTCCCCCAGACCAATCAGGTGAGGTGTGGGGGGAAGGGTGTTGTGCCTCGGTTTCCCCATCTCTAACAGGGATAAAGTCTTGTGAAGGTTGAAGGAATTCAAGGATCAAAACCCACAGTTGGTGCAGGGGTATGGGTGCAGATGTCTTGAGTTTCTCCTAGCAGTCTGCTGGGACCCAAGAGATGGGGGCTGAGCCTTCTTGGGGTCAGTCATAAGCCTCCAGGAACTTTCTGGGTGGCATCACCACACAAATATCACCTTCCCCACAATTTTATTGGAAAGCTAGAGGTCTGTAGCTCAAGCTTCTCCTCCTCCCACCACCTCTGGTGCAGACACACTGGGAAGGTCTTCACATACTTAGGTCTCCCCTATCCCTTTCCTTCCCTTCTCTCTCACAAGAAGAAAATGTTCCTCCTTCTCTCCAGGGCTCCTTGTAAAATGGGTGGAAAGAAGAATATTCAGTGTGCATACCACCACTTTTTGTCGCCTACCTGTTCAGACATCACTAATCCATCACAGCACCCTCAAGCCGAGCAGGATCCTCAGCATAGCTCTCTCCAGATTCCCTCTACCTATCAGTAAGGACAGATGCTACCCCGGGTATATATGGTGTCCAAAGTCTGCTCCAGCTCATGACTCTGGGGGAACCTCAGAAAAGGAAGATTTTAGATCTCTGTTCTTTTTAATTTCTGGCACCCTTTAGAAGCCACAGAGTCTTGTATTACAAAAGTCAGACTCACACCTGGGGGGGGGGGGTTTGCAGGGGGTGTGACTGGGCTTGTTTTCTATTTATCCGGGAGCTGGGGGACAGCTTCTTTCAACCTGCAGGCCCCCTGCGAGAACCTGGGGTAGCAGGGTTCTCACGATGCCTGAGCGTGGGAGCCACCCAGGCCCCCTTTTGATGTGGCTCATGCTGTTTCCTCCGAATCAGTGAGAACATCCTCCTGCCCTGGACAAGCGGCTGCTGCCCGCAGACCTCCCGGAAGGGGGGCCGGCCTTTACCCTCTGCTCAGCCTTCTCAGGGCCCAGCCTGGCAGCATGTCTAAGGAATCCTTGAAGCCCTCTCGGACCAGAAGCCAGGCCTTGCAACCTCAGTGCAAGGATGGGCCCACTGCAATGCTGTTCTTTCTGCTGCCTTTCGCACCCCCACCTCAGACCACCTTCCCCTCTGCCCTCAGACCCATGACTTCCACCTCACTCAGAATAGAACCCCACCTCCTTACCCTGTGGGATAGCGGCTCCAGCCCTTGAACTTCCTTTCCCCTGTGCTCACCCCCCACCATTCTGCCCCTGATGTTCCTCAAACATGCCAGGCACATTCCTACCCCAGGGCCTTTGCACCTGCTAATGCCTTTCCCAAATATCCTTATGTTCTACACCCTCACTTAGCACAGGCCTCTGCTCAAAGGTTATTTACCTTATCAGAGAGACCTTCCCTACCTTTGCTCTAGCGAAGGCTCTGCCTTTGCCCCTATTATTTTTTTTTGGTCAAAGCACACATTATGACCTAATAGCATTAAGTCTTTGGCATGACTAGGTCCTGTGCAATCTGGTCCTTCCTGCCCCTGTGACCTCATCTCCTTCCCCCTCCATCTCTCTAAACCGGACACATCTGCTGTTGCTCTTACATGCTGAGTATGGCCTCCTTTCTAGACCTTTGCACCTGCTGTGCCCTCTGCCCCAAAGTCTTTCCCCCGCAAATGCAGAATGGCCCATTTAGATCCCTACTGCAATGTCACCTCTCCATAGAGACCTTCCTTGACCACCAACATCAACACGAGTATACACACAGTAGACGCCAAACAGACACGGGTGTGGGAATGCAGGCAGGAAGACAGGGCCCCTGGCCTCCCACGGTGCAGGTATCCATTCCCAAGTGAGCATACTAACTGGGCATCCTGTGGGAATGGCCCCAGCAAATGTTCTCAAAGAGATGCCCCAGAAATGTTCTCCATCCAACTGGAGGCAGCAGTTGCACAGCAGGGTTTTGGGGTCCCCACGTTTCCTGGAAGCTGTCCTGTGACATGTACCACAGAGAGCCGAGACATGCTCTCTCGGTGGTCAGTCACTCCTGCTGCTCGCGGTATGCCAGGGGACCCCCAGCAAGTCCCTAATGGCCCATCTTTGGGGAGGGAAACTGAGGCACAGAGAGGTGAAGTCACTTGCCAAGGAATAATGGAGCCAGGATATATGCCCAGATAGTTGGATTCCAGAGTTTGTGCTCTTGGCCATTTCATTCCACGCTAAACCGTGTTCCCCCACTGTGGTTTGGAGGCTGAGGCAGGAGGCTCTGACAGAAAAAACTCCCCAGCTTTAGTCTGAGGAAGAGGGATGGAGTCTTGAGCTCTCCTTCCTGACAAAGAGGGGCAAACCAAGACACCCTGTACCCGCTCTGGCTGGAAGGCCGTGTTCACCTGCTGGAAGGCAGGTGGAGGTAACATAGGAGAGATTTTCCTATTTGTTGTTTTTGTTGATTTTCCTATTTGTTGTTCCTCACACTGTTCCCTGCCCTTTCCTGTCCTGGGTACCTTTGCCACACTCTTCCCCCTGCCAGCCCATACTGTCTATTCCGCCCTTTGAAGCGAGATTCAAAGGTCACTTCTCCATCCAGTCTTTTCTGATTTATCTCAAGTGAATTCATATCCAGTCCTTTTCACTTCCAAGGGACTGTTTATCTTTGGTTTTTTTTTTTATGAGAACACAGGCATTTTCTGTTTTGCTTTCTAGTTGCGTGGTTGCACTCCTATCTTTTCCACCAGATTGTGAACTTCTGGAAATAAGTCTGACCCAGCCTCCTGACCTTAGGTTTGAGAGTGAGACGGTGCACATGGGTTCTCAGTCTGGATGAAGCTGAACCAAATAAGAAGCTGGTTTACCCGCCCTGTGTCTCCTCAGAGGGGGCCTGGTGTCCTCAGAACGGCGTTTCTGACGCCAAATGAGCTCCAGGACCTGAGGATGGAGCGGGATGGCAAATACCTGGCACGCATGTTGTCCTACGGCCCAGCGCCCAGGGCAGGCATGTTCAATCAATCCCAGTGCTCCCTCGACTAAGCCAAGATGCAACTTCAG